TGCCTCAAGCCAGCCAGCAATTGGCCACTGCCCAAAGCTCGTCTTTAACTCTGTAGCCAATTTACTTTATCTCAACCTTGCTCAAGTTTTTGTTTCTACCACTTGTTTCCTCATTATCTCTAATTCAGGGACATGTAAAACAGTGCGAAGCCACTTGCGAATTCCTTTCCCTTTCCCACAAAGTCTAGCTTTAAAAGACTAATTTCTTTTTTGAAAAAGTAGCTATACCTCGTGTGTTCAGCTTCAGGTATATGGTTAGCTGCAACAGCAGAGATCTGGGATTAAGCAGTGAAGGTAATTGAAGGCTTGAAGAAATTTATAAGAGTAATCAAAAAGGTTGAGACTCTTTAAACATATAAATCAGCTTAACAGACTTTATCTGTATTTCTATAAATCAATTCAATTAATAGAAGTTAAAGGTTATTCTCTTACCTTGTAAGTAATAATTAACAGTAATATGAATGCTGCTATGCTTTGAGAAGAGAGATTTTGCATACAGGAGGTTTCCTTTCTCTAAGTTAAGAAGTGCTGCAATGTGAAAACAGCTGGAAAGGAAATGCTGTCCTATGTTGAGGTCTGCAGCTTATATTTTCATGGGGTATCAATGAGGTTACAGTTTGGGATTCCACACATGGCTAAGCCCTTAGGCCCTTCTGGGACTCATAAATTTAGAAACCAACTTTTTTAAATCGGTAAGACTAACGAAACTTCCTGAGCAGTGTATAGTACAGGCTACTGGTAGAAAGAAATTTAATGGAGTGTGTATTATTGAAATTAATCTTTGTATTATTGATACTAAGCTTTGTGAAGCTTCTGTGGTCCTAAAGGAAACTGATTTAACAACTGTAACATTATGAAAATACAATATTTTGAACAGAGCCCGTAAAAGACAATGAAGGAAGAAAGGATGATGACCATAGTAATCGAGCACGGAACCAAGTTGTCATTTCCCTGAGCCATCAAGAATGGAAGGTATGAGATAGCACTTGATAATTTTGATTTATTTATATTTTTCCCCAAAGCGTAAGAACACATCCGAGAGCTGTGCTGATAATGTACTCACATGAGCACAGGTGGATTTTATCACTGCATTTAATTTCATGGATTCTAAAACAACTACAAATCTAATTGGCATTTTTAACTCCAAGAAAACTGGGAAGTGGCACAGTGATTTCATCTTTGATCCAAAAAGCCCTGTCAGTTCAAGAGCTTTTAACTTGTGCAGTGACTCAATTTTCCTGCTTTATGAGGACTGCGTAACTACAGAATGTTTCTTCCCTTATGTATGATGTGCTCCTACAGGGGGTGTTTGCTATTTTTCAGTAAATCTTTCATAAAAAGTTTCTTAGTACGTTTCTCCTTTGTCACTCCATGTGTAGGATAGGCTTAGTCATGTGAAGCAGTGCTTTAGTTTGAGAAACTTTGTTATTTACCAGGCAGTAGCTGCAACTGTATCGAAATAAATTAGCTCCTGCAACTTACTTACCCTTCTGTCATTTCTATCTAGGAAATTATAGAAACATTTGAAATAACAGAACCCATGATCAGCCCTCCTTCCTATAGTAATGAAGATGAAATGGAGATAGATTAATTCTTCCAGTAAGTTTTTTTTTTATTTTTAATGAACAAAAACAAGCATATAGTGCATGTGTTCCTTGTTAATGCATAAGAACGGCAGAGAAATATCTGTGACTATGTATGTAGAAACAGTATAAGCAGGGTAATTGTGTAACATTCTGACTGTTTCTGTATTTCTGATCTCTTCTTGCCACAGAATGTCATCTAGTCTGCTATGTGGTAGTTAACTGAAAAGGTCTTTTTTTTACATTTGATAGTTTAGTTTTACAGTTCAGTTCATTTTTGAAATTCAATATGGGTACCTGAAACGTAATGCTGTGAAGAATCATAGCCTAGTTTCTGTGTTTTTATTTATTTTTTTAACACACTCACAGCTGATCTTGTTAAGAGTAGTCTGAAGAAGGGCTTAGGGAAGCAGAAAGGGAAGGCAGTCTGCTTCCCTCCAAAATCCTTTAAACAGTAGGACTGAATTACTTTATCTCAACTGTGTGGTGCATAAGGTAAACCTCACTATTTTCTGTTTTTGTTTTTTTCCCCCAGGTGCCTTAAAGAAAAATATTCTAAAATGTTACCTTCAAATAAGATATGATATGTATATATTGTAATATTAAATTTATTTTTATTGGAACATTCTGGTACTTTATGTAAGCTGTATTGTTTTCACGTGACACAGTTATCATATCCTTTCAATTTATTATGGCTCTATTTATGGCTTTCTGTAAACTTTATTGACACTGCTAAAAACTTTCATAAAGATGAAATGCTGCCCCCCTTCTTTCATTCATCGTCTCTCACCGATAACAGCCTGCAAGGGGAATTCACATGGAAAACCATCTCTGCTGTGATAATCTGTTCCTGACCACCCTCTGGGTGCAGACCCTTTCCCTAACCCCCAGCCTGACCCTCCCCTGTCCCAGCTCCATGCCGCTCCCTCGGTCCTGTCGCTGTCCCCAGAGAGCAGAGCTCAGCAACTGCCCCTCCGCTCCCTGTGAGGGAGCTGCAGGCTGCCATGAGGCCTCCCTCCCCTCAGTCTCTTTTTCCTCCAAGCTGAGCAAACCAAGGGACCCCAGCCGTTCTTCATATGTTTTCCCCTTTAGACCCTTCCCCGTCTTTGTAGCCCTCCTTTGGACGCTCTCCAATAGTTTTACATCATTTTTATACTGGGATGTCCCAAACTGTGCACAGACCTCAAGGTGAGGCCACACCATTGCAGAGCAGAGCAGAACAATCCCTCCCTCAGCTGGCCAGCAGGGCTGTGCTTGATGCACCCCAGGACGCACCCGGCTGGCCCTTCTGGCTGTCACTGCACACTGCTGCCTCACATTCAACTTGTCACTGACCAGAACCCCCAGATCCCTTCCTGTGGGGCTTCTCTCCAGCCTCTCATCCCCATCTGTACATCCTGCCAGGGCTGCCCTGTCCCAGGTGCAGAATCCAGCATTTGCTCTTGTTCAGCTTCATGAGGTTGGTGATCACCCAGCTCTCTAATTTGTCAAGATCTCTCTGCAAGGCCTCTCTACCCTCAGGGGAGTCAGTAGCTTTAGTAGTTTAGTGTCATCTGCAAACTTAGCATGCATTTGAGTCCTGCATCAAATCAATTATGAAAAAGTTGAAGGGAACTGGCCCTAAAATAGAGCCCTGGGGAACCTCACAGGTGACTGGCGGCCAGCCTGATGTAACCCCAGTTACTGTAACCCTTTGAGCTTGACCCATTAGCCACTTGTTCACCCATCGTGTCTTGTATCTCTCTAGTTGTATGCTGGACATCTTGTCCAGAAAGATACTGGGGGAGACAGCATGAAAGCTTTGCTGCAATCCAAAAAGACTACATCTACTGGCTTCCCTTGGTCAATTAGGTGGGTAACCTCGTCCTAAAAGGAAATTCAGTGTATCAGTTTTCCTCTCGTGAACCTGTGCAAGCTGTGACCAATGCCTGTAGACTTACACGTACCCAGCTGGAGCAGCAAGTCCTGTACAAGTTCGGTGCCAGCTGGCAGTTTATTGTTCCTGCAGTTACAGTTCTCCAACTCAGGACTCTGGAGGTCTCGGAGCCCATCCCTGATGTTGAAGACAGAGGTGAAGAAGGCATTAAATGTCTCTGTTCTATCTGTTTCTGTTTTTATGAGGTGACCATCCTCACCAAGTAATGGACCAATGGTCCCCTTTTTGTTATTAACATATTTTTAAAAACCCTTTTATTGTCCTACACCGTACTGGCCAGCTTCAACTCTAATGAAGCTTTGGCCACACACATTTTCTGCTGGCCATATGCTGTGTTTTTCCACCTGAGCTCTAGAAGATCCCTGCATATCAAGCTGACCTTCTGCCCTGCCTGCTTGCCTTTCAACATTTTGGAATTGCCTATTCCTGTGCTCGTAAGATGTACTCAAAAACTGACCAGCACTGATGGACCCCAATGCCTTCGAATGCAGCTTCCCAGGGGCCCACCCTAACTGGCTCCCTGAGGAGCCTGTAGTTTGCTCGCCCTGTATCCAGGGCTGAAATTGTGGTGGCAGTTCTCCTATCACCAAAAATTTGAAACCCGCCTACTTCACGGTCATTATGGTGAAGATGGCCACGTGTTTGGTTTTGTAACTTAGGTAGGATAGGTGTATTAGGCCATAGCTTTATTTTCTTTAAAAGAAATAAAACTTTGCTCTGCCTCTAGAAAACGCTCTTCTAAGCATCATCTCTGGAGTTTCCAAGATTTTTTATCTTTAGGACTCCTTTTATCATTATTTAGGGATTTATATTATAGAGACTGCAGTAATGGGTACTGAGTAATGAGAACAATCTGAGCATTTTTGGTCATCTCCAGTGAGCTGAGAGCTATGTTTGTTCAGGCTGTTCGTGGATTGTCCTGAAATTATCAAGCTATTCTGAAGGCTAGGCTGAAAAAGCATCAAACAGCTCAGTGAAATGTGGCTCAAGAATATTTTCCGCTGATGTAAGTGAGCAGCAGATCGGGCATATTGATGCCTGTCCATCAGCGGGGCACTGAGGCCCTCCTCTGGACGCTCTCCAGGGCCTCGATGTCCTTGTAGTGAGGGGCCCAAAGCTGAACCCAGCGCAGAGCACAGGGGGCGAGCACCTCCCCGGCCCTGCTGGCTGCACCATCCCTGACACGAGCAGGGTGCCGCTGGCCTTGCCCGCAGCCCCGGCCCCTTTCCCCGGGCGGCTCCGCTCCGTGCCCGCGGGGCTGCGGCCGGGCGGGGCGCTGCGGGGCGGAGCGGGCCGAGCCGAGCCGGTCCGAGCCGTGCCACCATGCCCGGCGCGGTGGTGGAGTACCGGGGCTGGAAGCAGGGCGGCCGCTGCGGTTACTGCGCCTCAGCGCAGGGCAAGGTGTCCGCCGGTGAGTCTGCCCTCAGTAAAGATGGAGGGAGGCGCCGGGGAGAACATGGCGGGGCCGCTCCTCCCTGCCGGCTCCGCCCGCGCCCTGCCCGCACCCAAGATGGCGGCGGCGGCCGGTTCCGGGGGGCCCGGGGCAGCGGGCAGGGCGCTGCCCTGAGGCGGGAGTGGTGGGCATGGCGGCGGGGGGCGGCGGCTCGCCCAGCATCGTCGAGTACTTCGGCGGGGAGGATGGCTACCGCTGCGGCTACTGCAAGAACGAGAGCGGCAACCTCTCCCACGGTGCGGGCCGGCCGCGGCCCAAACGGGCGGGGACCGAGGGGCCGCGGGCTCCGAGCGGGCGGCGGGGCTGTGGGCAGCCGCTGGGCAGCGGCCGCTGTCCTCCTCCTGCACCTCCTCCTCCTCCTTCTCCTCCTCCTCCTCTTCTTCCTCCTCCCTTTCGTCCCCTCAGTTCTTCCCGGCCCCTCGGTTGTGGCCTGCGGTGTGGGGCAGCGCCCCGAGCTCCTGGTGTCGGGGTGTCTGAGTTCTGTGTGGAGAGCTGAAGGGGGTGATTGGCGTGCTGGGAAAGCTTAAATTTTCTATGTAAAGGTCAAATGAGCAGCGTGGAGGAAGAATGAGGAGGGTGTTACTATCCATTGAACAGCGATACCTCGAAATTTGTGTATTGCTGTTGGGATGAGAGAGGGGAACAGCGTGGTTGTGGGGGGCTTGCTTCTTTCATCCTGCCTTTTGGGGAAGGAATTTGTCCCACCGATAACACAGGTTACATGAGATATACCTGCATGGCATCGGGCTCTTTGGGAGGATGGTGCTTGCCCTCCGCCCTCTCTGTTACCAACCTGTTGTGTTGGGTGGGAGATCAGTCACTGAAACCCCACACGTGCTGTTCTCTAGTGGGACAAGCATGGAGGAGTGGTGGTTTTATTCAACCTAGAAAGCAAGTGTGCATGAACTCTGTAGCTTCAAACTTTTGCATGATGATAAAAATGTGCTAGTTTAGGATCTTTTCCTTGTACACCTTCGTTTAAGTGCCAAACACGTCGTGTGATGCTTCTTCCTCCTCCAGTGGAAGGCAGCTGCTTGTAACAGTTACAAGTGGTCTACATTTTTTGGATATCAGATTTGAGCCTGCTTGTTCGAGCTAGCTTGTATTTTAAGGCCAAAACCTCATGTTTCCCAAGTGATTTCTTCCCAGAGAGCAGCAGCTCATCCCCATGGTGAAGCTCAATGAGTTTAACGCTATGGTCAGACAAGTTTTTTTTGGGGAAGCCAAAGGGGAAGTGAAGCCTGTGCTTTTCCTTAATTTGCTGGTCCAGAGGTGGCAGCTCCCCGAGGTCTGAGCTCAGCAATCACCTCCAAAGGTGCTCCCCAGGAGGTCCCTGGAAAGGTGCTAGGTGAGCCTCAGCAGCTCTCCCTGAACAGCTCTTCTCCCCCAGCGTCTCTCACTTGGTTTAACGAAGTTAAGGAGCGCTTCTAAGTCATTTTGTTGGTGTATTGTAGGGTAAGGTAACAGGTGGATACGTAAACTTTTCACTTTCACTTTTAGAATAATGTACTTAGTTCAATCCAAAGATTTATGTCATTGCAGCTTTTTTTTTTATATGTGGAACATGGCGTTGAAATAAGTAATCGATGAGATTTATCAATATGCCAAGTCCTTGAGAGACATCTCTTCAAAAGTCAATATTAACTGATTAATTTTACAGTGATTTCTGTAGAGCTTGTTATATTTTAATGTGTTAAAGCATAACGATGGTCAGTTAAATGTATTGATGTTCATTTCAGGTATGTGGGCACATTCGATGACAGTTCAAGACTACCAGGATCTCATAGATAGAGGATGGCGAAGGTAAATTTAAAAATAAAATAAAGTTATGCCTTTGTAGATTAAACTTTGTTATGATTCAATTTAGAATCCAGATTTAAATGTTAGGTTTCTGAAAGCAGTTAACTAGCTTCCATAAAAGGTAGGAAGAGAAATATTTGTCCTATGCTCTGTGACTTTTAAAGCATGACACTGTTGAACAGGGAAAAGAGGATTCTCCTTTTCTGAGCTAATATAAATATGGTGATAATAAATTAGTCAAGATCATGTGGGAATTACAACTTTAATTATTAAACGGTAAATATGTCTTTACAGCATACTGTATTTAAGGGCAATATTCTTTTAAAATATTATTTAATTAAGCAAATACTGAGTGTTATGTTCCTTTTTTTTCCAGTAGCGTATATGCTGTTTTAGATTACTTCTGTTCTTGGTATTGCACTTTAAAAATGTGAGTTAAAGTCAGTCCGTCAACTTTGCATCTTATGCCCATAAAACAGGTGGGGAGGGTGGGGGGAATTTCTGGAAGTTCAACATCTTGAAAAGCTTGAATGTTGAGCATTTAAGTGCCCCTCAATATCGGTTATTTTCAGAAAGTTGTAAATAAACAAACTAAAACAAATTTCTGTCAATATCCTATTCCTTACTGCACAGGAAAACAAGTGTCTGCTTTAATAAGGACAATTTGGTGGCTTCAGGAGTGTTTTTAAACATATCTGAATGTTCTCTCAAACACTGGGTAAGAAAATGATAGGCAAGCAGATAAACAGATCGAGAGCTGCCAACTGAAAGCAGTGCTAGGATCAAGGGCATCTCTTGGCCACAATCAACAGGCCTGAGGATTGGTCACCAGGTGCAAATTTGATAAAAGACCTTTTTCTTTGTCTTCTGTTGTAACGCTAGGATTCCTGGAAACTTTAGTGCTGAATATATTTGGGATCTTAAATTTCAAACTCCTTTCTGATGGGAATCTGACCGATTTTGAAAATTCATGTTTGCAGGGGAGTATTTTTTTTTCCCCTCTCCTATTCTAATGGAGTATTTTGACCACAGGAAATATTACTTCTCTTCTTCCTAATACCTGTCTTTAGGGATATGTGGACTGGTATTTTATTATCAGTGTTGGAGCTTATGCTGGAGTTCTAACGTGGAGCAGAAATAAAAGAAAGTAACATGTGCGAGGGTAGCTCATCACATTCTTCCCAGTTAGATTTTTGGGAAGGAGTCTGGACTTTCAGGCAGGAATGTGCTGGAGAATCCAAGGTATCATTCTGATACGTAAAGAGCACAGCAGATACAACATGCTTTTCTTAGTTATGCTCTATGATTAAATTTGTTAATTAATAATCATTTATTTTAGACAGTATTTAGTATAATGGCAAAACTAAAAAACTTGCTTCTTGGCTTTTGATATTCTTTCTGTAAGAATTTTTATTATTTAAACAAAATTTCTGGTTTTCCATTAATTTTGTAGTACAAACAAGAAATCAATGCATATTTATTATTTTTTTTAGAAGTGGAAAATACGTCTACAAACCTATCATGAATCAGACGTGTTGTCCTCAGTACACAATAAGGTAAGAGAGCTGGGATGTAGTGCTGTAATTGATGTGACTGTTTAAAATGTGTCCAGCCATTTGTGTTTACTGCTTTAAATACATAAAAGCAGATTAACTTTTGAAGTCTTAATGATACTAAATATATTCTGTTGGGTTGGTGCACAGGCAGGTCAGTGGCTCTGTGATGTTGTCAGTGGCTCTGTAGCACTCCACTGTCAGCAGTCTGCTCAGTGCATGCCCTTTGTGTCTGGATTGCAGTCCAGGGCAGGAGTCCCCTGACTGCTCGCTTGTTTGGTGGTTACTGGTGAACCACTGTGTCTGTATCCCCAAAACACTGTCATAGTAGCCCAAATAAGAGAGGCAATCAGTTGAATAGGTATGAATAATTCTAGAGAGGCTTTTCTGCCGTTAGTAGTTAGAATCAATGCTGTGTATATAAGATGGATAAGTGAAAAATTGTAGTGTGCTAGTCTCCTAGGAAAGCTTATTTCCTGCTTCAGGGCACCTTAGCATATTTTAGTGATTATGGTATCCGTGTATATTGCTATAAAATATTATGGAGTACAAGACAACATAACTTTTACTAATTCAAGAGTGTTGATAAAATAATTGATCACTTAATATATGGAAATTAAAGAATTAGGAAATATACACGTATTGTAACATTTTTCTTTGAAATAATCTTTCTCAAAAGAAGTAATCATAACTTTTTTTTTTTTAAGATGCCAGGCGTTGCGTTTTCAGACTTCCAAATCTCACAAGAAAGTTCTGAAGAAAATGTTGAAATTTATTTCTAAAGGGGATGTTTCGAAAGTGGTGAGTGAAGGTAAGAAATTCTTAGTGTTCGAAATGAAGATCAAGACTGATTGATTGAACGGCTAATACACTGGTGTTTTTTCTTCATGCAGCCTTCTTTATAGAGGGCTGGCTAACTTGTGATTTTGCAGCATTTTGAATCAAGGGCGCTATGCTGCCCAGAGAACAAATTGTGGCAGATGACTTGCTTTGCCACAATTTCATGGAATCACAGAATGGTTTGGGTTGGAAGGGACCTAAAAGACCATCTCCTTCTAACCTCCTGCCATGGCAGGGACACCTCCCACCAGCCCAGGCTGCCCAGAGCCCCATCCAACCTGGCCTTGGGCACTGCCAGGGTTGGGGCAGCCACAGCTTCTCTGGGCAACCTGTGCTAGTGCCTTGCTGCCCTCATTGAATTTGCTCCTTGTTGAAGGATGTTTACTTACTTTTTGTTTAGACAGGCTTCTTTTTTTTTTTCTTTTTTTTTTTAAACCTGAGCACATTCTTCGTGGCTGGTACGATCAGATTGTCACTTCTATGACCGAGGTAAAAACAGTCTGGAGATTACTAAAGAAGGACAGTAGGTGGCGGAGAACAGGAAGAGCAAACAGGGAAGTAGAGTTTGACAGGTGACTGAAAAGTCCCATTCTGTTTATCGAACACCAAACCCTGCTGTTCTCTGGTAGAGATCCTGTTGTATTTGTTCTGAAATGCTATAATTTCCCACTTGTAGATGTGCAGTGCGAGATTAGTGAAGGCTGCCCCATTTCAATGTAGAAAATAAATTACGCTCATTTATGAGTTGGTGCTAGCAATATAGGGTCATAAAGGAAGATTTCTGTTTTCAGACTATTCCAAACTTTATGTGTTGGAAAACAGTTGTAAAATTGGAAAGAGTTAATATTGACTTTAATTGTGCAAAGTCTGAGCTGCAGTTACAGGGAGAGAAATTAACTCATGCAGTCTTTACTTATTTACAGAAGAGCCTATGGATTCCCATATAGAGGATGTAGTCCCGAGTGATTTTGCATACAAAAGTGAATCTCAGGTCAGCCAGACTGAACTGACTCCCTTGAATGAGGATCACGCAGAGGGAGTGGAGAATGATGATAAAGACAAAGTTGAAACGAAAGAAGAAGTGAATGTGAAGAAGGTGGAGTCAGGTTCTCTTCAGATACCTGTCGATAAAGATGCAGCAGGCCCTGGAGAACCGTCACATTCTTCTAAAGCTGTTCATGCACCGCCCAAGCCAGGTAGTTACACTTCTGGTAGCAATCAGAATATATTTTCAGTATTTGCATGTTGTTGAAGTCTCTCTTTTTTATATTGCCTGAAACAATTCACTAATTGTTTTTTTATTTTTTGCCAATTTATGGGATTATAGTGCATAAATTGATAGGTGCTGCGTGTTACTTGTTTTCTTAGTTTTTCCTGAAAATTGCATAGATTTTCATCATACTAGATCTAGTAAGATCATCATAAGATCTAAAAAGAATGCATTAATTATTGTTTTAACATTTCTTCATATCCGTAGGTTGTCTTGTTATACAAATTGTGCAGTAAACACCCTGTGAATACACTCCTGTAATAACTTAAGACACTATTATGTTTTCATATACTGTTTGCCACAGACCTAAGTGGCACTGGAAGTAAATTCGGTATATTAACGTGGTTTTATTTCTTAGGCTTAAAGGAAATTTATTTAGAAGAAAACTATTCAAACATATATAGAGAGGGATACTTCTCTATAAGCAATGGCATTTTCTAGTTGAGGTTTTTCCATCTATTTGGGAGCTTGCCTTGTTTTATGTTTTGGCAAACTTTTATCTTAGAAAAGCAGTGTCCCAGTGGATGTGAAATTATGAAAAACTGCATTAATTTCTATCTTTTCCTTGCTGTGAACTTAGTATTACATTTCTGTAAGGAGGTACGGTAATTGTGCACTGAGTAAGGTAACCTTGATCATTTTACTTCCTGAAGCATTTCAGCATTTCTACACTGCTAAAGCTCTCATGCTAAAAATTGAATGTAAATGCATGTTCGTTTCTAGAGTTTTGTGTGGAACTGTAGGGAAATATTGATGACATTTTAAACATAATTCCAATATAGTAATTCTAATATTGTGGTCAATTTTTTTCCCTAAGGTGGATGTTATCTCTTAACAAGCTTTTGCATTGTAATTACAAAGATTTCTGAAATACTGCGTTTGGACGGAGTTCAGACACAAAATCTTTACCCTAAAAAAGGACAGGCTCATTGTCTGCCTGTAACTTTTTCTGCTTCTGCACCCCTTGCTGTGGCACGAGAGCCTGGAATCTCCATCTGATAGCAGCGGTGTTAAGCTTTTTGCACAGCTTGTTGTGACAGGGTAGGCGGTGTGTCACAGCTGGTGGGTAATCCTCTTTGTGCTGCGATTGGAGCTGCTGCACGTGCGGAGGAGTCCTTGAGGGTCTCTGGGGAAGAAAAGGCTGGGAAGTACTGCTGATGGGATGCTCGTGCAGAGTGCTGCGGGTTGCCTCTCTTACAGCTTCTCGTGTACCCTGTTCTTGTAGGATGTGGTAAGGGGTTGGTGGATTAGAGCCAGAATAATTCATGCTCGTTAAAATAACGTGAATGAACGCTTGTTTCAGGTGCAACCAATTGCATCAGGTTTTCACCAGCTTAACAAGCAATTCTGCATCTAAACAAAAAGGAAAGTTTTTTTCCAGAAATGCTGTCAGAAACCCAGCAGTGCTGCATAGCATTGGTACTGTTGCAAGTTCCTGGCAAATGTATCCAGAATTTTCAAGACTTAATTTTATTTTTCAACTTTATAAAATGCAGCCTAACTTTTATAGCTGCTGTGCAAATTTTCACAACCCTCTTGTTTTTAAAATAATTAATGAAAAGCTTTACTTTATGTAAACTTCCACCTACGTGGAAATTGACAGCAGATGGCAGTCTTGGGTAAAGATTATTGGTATGAAAATGGCGAAGTGCTGTCTTTAGTTATGTTAAGAATAACCTTGGGTAAAGCTTCAAACATAGCAAATACAGATAAAGGAAGTTTGAAACATTGTTTGTACTGTGATTCAGAAAAAGGGGGTTTACTTTTATGGCAGAGAGATAATCATTAATATGCTTCTCTCTGCAGGGTTTAAATTAAATATAAAGGGAATAAGAAATGCATCAGAAAGCTTATTTGATATTGCTTTTTTTTTTTTTTTTTAGGGTAGGTGGTGTCACAGGTCAAATTTAGTTTAAAATTTTCCAGATAGAAAGATGTTTAGCTTTCTTTTTGGAAAATGTAGACTTATTCCGTAACAAGATTGTTTAATTGCGTTTTTATTCCTTTATAAACAAAACAGGTCATTGTCCTATAGGAATAATGGGCTGTTTCTGCACAGTTTCAGATAGAAAAGAAGGTTTGCTTATGTCTGCACGCGCGTTCATTGTTTTAAGAAGTTTTTCTAGCTAACTTACAGCTTATAGAAGATACGAGACATGAAACAGACCCCAAGGCAGATGAAGTGCTGTAACATTCTTCAAATTTATCATGGGTATTTTAAATAAACTCTTCCACTGACTTTTGTTTGCCCATGGTCAGATCCCATAATGTCTGTAATTTCCTCGGAATATTTGTCCTTTTCTGGCGAATGCTTTAGTTGTACGATGAGACAAATACTCAAGAAGCATGACCGAGGTAAGGACACTTGATGTAAAATTGGCTGGTTCAGCTGCAGGACGTCTGGAGAGCGCAGAAGCAGCATTAGCTCCCTTTTGGAGTCCCTGAGATGCCCTCAACACTTCAGCTTTTGTGGAGCCTGTGTGGAACAACCAGGCTGGGGCTTTTCTGGGAGAGCCATGAAGAGCTTCCCCAGGAGTGTGCTTACAAACTGGTTCAAGAGCCATTTTCAAAAGTTTTCCATGGTTAATGTAGAGAACGTCCTTGATTGAGCAACCACCAATATTGGTAAAAATGTATCCTGCAGGTCAGGGAAAGGGCATATGCGTAGGTGTATTATTTGTTTTATTGCACATTTCTCAGATTTCTGATTTTTTCCAGTTCATTATTTTTCTTCCTGTTTTGGAATGTATCTCCAAAAGAGGACCGTGGTGTTTCAGTGCAGTTGAGGCAGCATTACTGTGGTAGTCTTGTCTATCCTGTAAGTTCTGAGCAAAGGACGCTGCACTTTGGGCAATGGTGGCTACGTATCCTGAGATCAGAATAACCTTCCCCAAGTCCTAGGGACTTTACAGGTCACTGCGTCTTGATCCACTGACCTGTGGGCTTTATGCAGCCAAAGTCAGCATACTTTATGCTAAGAAGCAATAGCAGGACACTAAGAAATAATTTTCAGTGGCTTCGAATTCATCAGGTTGCAAGTAAAATCTGCTTCCCTTACTCCAGTTGCCATTACTGTAAGCTTGTTCTCATAAAACTGTTATATCTCTGGTTTCTATATTTTTTTTTCTAACTCTAGAGCCTGTACTTGGGATTTAATTAAAATAATTCCATTCATGGGAAAAAAACATCTGACAATACTTCTTTCACCATCCTGACTGTAAAATGAGCTGGGGGGAAAAAAGAAGTGATAAACTAGTGGTTTTCCCTTAAATAAAATACCATTTTTTCAGTGTAGCAATAGTAACATAGTCACCAACACCAAGTTTCCTGACAAATACCTGGTGTGGGTTAAGCCATCACATTCTGTATGGTAGGTGCATTAAAAAGAATAGCTTACTGATGCCTGAAAATTGATCCCAATATGTTTTGACAGCTTCTGTGTTGTATCGGTGAAGGTGGATGCAGGCAGTGGCTCCGAAGGCTGCAATTCCTTGCTGGTGAAGTGAACCTAAACATCAGTGAGCTTTTAAGATAGCAGTGCTCTGACCATTTCCAGTTAGCAGAGCGTGCAGCTGTTCACCCTTGTCCATGGGGAAGGTTTGAAGTGGGTAGAGGAGAAGAAAGATGTCGCTGTTGGCTAGTAAATTACTGGTAAGAAGCAGGAGGAGAAGGAAAGAGAGCTCTAACCACGGTTTCGTAGGGGTTATGGAAAAAATAATTTCCAGGCCTCTTAGAGAGTAAAGTGGGATAAGCCACAGTTAAGTCTGGGTTTGGATTATCCTTTATCTCCTATAAATATTAGCAGAGTTGGAAATGCGTCGTCTTAATGCTTCAGATGAAAGCACCTCACCAGTCAGGGTACATTCCCATCTGAAAAGGTCAGTCAGTCTTTCAAAAGTTGCCAGTGTGTCGTTTCCCAAATATATGGGTTTGGGGAGAAAGTTTATGGCATAAGAAGACTACTTCAGCACTTTGTCATAATATTTGTTACAGTTTTTGTTCTGTGCAAGATGTATGATTCTATATTTCCTTCTGTGGGAGTAGTCTTCCATTATTCCTCTTCTTTTGAAATCTTTAATATTATGGCTCTTTTTTGGCCTCCAGCTCAACTACTACTGCATGTAAAAAATAACATAAAATACAGAATTAGAGTTACTTTTGATTCCATTAACTGGCTGATAATATAAAAATAAGTTTCCCCTCTGTATGGAACTTTCTATATTGGCAGCTATTCTGAGACAGCTATGTGCTGAAACTTCATTCATTCTTTCATTGCTGTTTTGAGCAGTGCAGCAGGTTCATACAGCTTCTGGAGCAGAGTATTATGTTCAGTTTCTTGCCTGTGCTACTTGGAATAGCTGATAATGGTGTAAGAAGTTAAAGAATAGGTGAAAGATGGAGCCATGAGCGATAGGAAGATATTTCTTGTTTCTGCAAGTTTTTAGAAATCTGGATTTATGAATTTACAACCAGTATCAATTAAATACTAATATGAGGGGAAATTGCTACCTGTAAATAGATGATTTGTTTGGTGACTATCCTTTCAGTGCATCTTGTGGGTGGAATGAAGACCAGGCATCTTTTCCACATTGAAATAAGTTCAATATTCGTATAGCTTTCCTAGTTTCATGTCTTGACTTTTCAATCTTATGTTGCTACCCTAAGTATAAAATAATTCCGGACCCTTTATTAAGGAATTTGGGTCAACCTCCTTTTTTATTTGTGTGTCTTTGGCTTTATATTCCTTTAAAGTTAAGTTCTGGTAGTACCAGTTACTATTGTGCACGGTGATCCTTTTGTTTTCTAGATGTGACTTCTCTTTTAAGTAAATAGCATTTCACTAATAAAACATTATGAATGGTTAAAGATACTGGAGTAGAGTTAAACTGATAGAAGTGAATCTACTAGTAAAAACATATCTGAATATTATTTTAAGAAAAGATATAAAATTACATGGCCTTTTGCACCTCTTGCATGACGTTAGTGGTGTTGGCTGTATTTCTGTGTACTGTGTGGGGATTCTAGGTGACAAGAAATAAATCCTTTTTCTTTTGTTTTCTGTAGGGGTCTGTTGTGTAGCAACTTGGGTCTCTTACGCACCAGAAGAATTCTCTTTATGAATTTGGTGATGAGGTTTTGTGGTTGTGGGTTTGTTTTTGTTTTTTCCTTTAATTATTTGAAGCTGATCCTGTAGCTTTTGGATATAAGGCATCGTAATACCAGGCATGAAACAGAAGCTTTGGTTTGCTTTTGAGAGAAGGATCTGGAATAATGGTTTAAGGACAGGCTTGGGGGAAGTCTTTTCATAATTACTTTTAAAATATATTATTGACTCTAGCTTAGACAGCTAGAGAGGAAAAGCTCATTGCAACTTACTTTGGAGTTGTGTGTTGCCATTAGCTGTGAATGACCACATGATGTTCAGACCATGGTCTGCAGTTATTGGTAATTTTAACCATTTATTTTCAGTTGTCATATGAGGGCCACTTGTTTGTTGCAAAATGTGGTGTTTAATTCTTTGCTTGTGTCTTTGAAGGCAAAGGGGCTGATCTGAGCAAGCCGCCGTGTCGAAAAGCGAAGGACATACGGAAAGAAAGAAAACTGCAGAAACTCCTTCAGAACCAGATGGGCACACTTGAAGGCTCTCCACTTCAGGCAGGACAGCAAGCTCTCCTCTCACAAAACTCTAAGACTCCAACAAACCAACCCAAATCTATTGAAGACTTCATTTTTGTCTCTTTGCCTGATGATGCACCACACAAATTAGAGGTAATGGCTCATTCACTGCTGTTGAAGGCAAATTAAAGAGAAGTCTTGTTAAGGAGTTTTTTAAACTCTGCAAATGCTTAGGTGCTTAGTGTCTGTGACTTTGCTAACTGGCTATAGATTAAATCTTAAAATTATGTGGTACATCGTGATGTATTAGGTACAGCTGAGTTCTGTGTGACCACAAGGGGGTGTTCTTGCACTTGCAGTCAGTTGTAGAAGAGACCAGTACAGTTAACAAAATACTTGTAAATTGATTTCATACCGAGTGACTTGAAAATGAATGGCTGTGAATTAACTGGGTGCTGGATCATTAGAGAGATTCAATATTTAGTTTTGTGGTAATAGTTAAACTATTTTCTCTATTAAAGCTTGACAAGAAAGCAGTAACTGTTCATAAAACTAAACAGATAAGAAGAAAGCTCTTCTTTATAAATGTCAGTGGTACTTGTTGATGTCTTTGGAAGCCATTAAAGTAATGGTAGAAAATTTGCATAATAACCTGGTTGCAATCAAATCTTTGTAATATAGAGGCAGTCACATTTTGACTTCCTAATGTTTGTTAATCATAAACACAATATTTTTCTTCTGGAAGCTGAAAAGCTTTCAGAATCTAAGAAAATTCCTGTAGCTGCTGATTATCAATGATGGTATTAAAAATTAAATTTTAAATATCTTTTTTGTTACTCACTTGAAGTGATGACGACCTAGAAGATACACCTTAAATAACTGATAAGAAGCCATGAAATTGATCTATTTTGTTAACGCTTCCAAATTTTTGATGAGCCATATAACAGAAGCGTAATAGCCTTTTCTGAACATTTTCATTTAGAAGATGTGGGGAAAATTAAAAGAAGAATGGTTCTAGCAGTGCTTTCTTTTGTTCTTTACTATGTCTGTCAAGTGTTTTTTTCTAGAAGCAATAGTTATTTGTGAAAATGGAAACATACTGAAAATTATGTGGGTTTTGAAATGAACGTGCCCTTAAGACACGTAACTTCCTATTAAAATTAACTCATAATTGAGTACGGGAACATTGTTTCCTCTTCCTCTTTAAATTTGAAAAATACCTGGACATCCCTTTGGGATTATTGCAATGCAAAAGTGGTCTTATCCAAAGAGCACAGATATGAGTCTTCCAAATATGTGGATCCTTCAAGTGTATTTCAGTGTGGTAAGAAACTTCAGGAAGAGAAAATTTGAAAATGTACAGAAAATCTCTTTAAAATGTCATTCTTTATAGCATTTGTTGGTAGTATTTCTTGAAAACTACTCGTGTAGTTCCTGCAAAGGCATTTTAGTTGATTCATAATTTGAAAACCTTATGTGTCAATCAGTGTAAACATAAAAGCCTTCAACAACCTAAATTGAGCCAAAGAATTGGAAGGCTATTGTGTAATATTAATCAAAGTGTTAGGGTTTTTTTGCAGGAAGTCAAAATGTCTCTGTGTCATGATGCTTGTATGTGTTTAAATGTATAATTATTGTGTGATATTGTAATAACAAATGTGTTTAACTTCTTCTGAAGGTGAGGGTGGTGAGATCATCTCCACCAAGTTCACAGTTCAAAGCCACATTTCAGGAGTCTTACCAGGTCTATAAACGTTACCAGATGGTTATTCACAAGGACCCACCTGATAAACCAACTATAAATCAGGTCAGAAGGCCAAATGAATTTTATGCAAAGCTCAGCTTCCCCTCCATTTTATGTGTCTTGCATAGATTCTAGGAGAAACAAACGTGGATTTTATATTCATTTTATACTCAGGGGAATGTAGAATACTGTATCAAATAAAATCAACATTCTGAAAGTGCAAACTTTTGATATCTCTTTGCGAGTGCCACAAATATTTGGTGTTAATTGCAGACTGAAGAGCTTAGAAAGTTACACGGGTATGATACTGAGTAAGAGATGGAGGAGATGAAGCTTTTGGAGATAGATGTTGTGGGTCATATAAATAGAAATTTCCTAGGAAATAAAAATGGCTGGGCACTTATCCTGATAAGTAGTCTCACTGGCTATGGTTTGAATGCATCCCTACAGAAGAACAAACATGAGAGGCCAACATGTGAGCGAAGGAATCATCGCACAAACAAATTGTTTAAGGTTCGCAGAAGTTGTATAAACCACTTCAAGAAGTGATTAGTGCACTCCATCTAAATTGCACGTCTTTACTGCTTCTTGTAATGTCTAGGCAGTGTGTAATAGTTAACTCGTGTCAGGCATACTGCCTCTCAAACACTTAAAAAAAAAAAAAAAATATATATATATATATATAAAATAATTCTGGAGTTTGGAGGAAAAAGTACATAGCAAGAATATAGAACCGCTAAACTGGGGACAATAAGCGATATGCCATTAAAAATAATACATTTTAAAAATTCTTGAGGTTGTACAATGAAAATACAAATTTTAGTTGATTTGTTAGGTACTTGGTCAAAAAATAGGTTGAGTAAACCGGTGCTTTGGAGTGTTCTAGTTTTACAGAACTTTTATTCTTTCATGGAGCTATCAGCAGTCAGCTTAAGGTTAGTGTTAGTTCCCATATATACTTTTCCCTGTAGGAGCTCTACTTTTTAAAGTCGAATACTGACTTCAGAGGCTTTGAAATGGATAGGAGGAGATCTTTCACTAGCCTTACCTTCAGAAGCATATTTGATTCTATGCACTCAAAACAGTATGCTTGTATTTTCCTTGCTCTGAAGGTGAGGTTAGTACCTGTCTCCTTTGAGGACCCACAGTTCAAATCATCCTTCAACCAGTCAGCCACTTTATTTGCCAAGTATCAGATGGCTATACACAAGGACACACCTTCTGAATGTGGCGAAAATGAGGTACAGTTCACTGCATGCGCCTGCACAAAAACATTTTTTACTGTACAGTTAAATGACGGGAAATGGTATCTCCTAGAATGATTCTAAATGTTAAAGCATGGAGTTTCAATCTGGGAGGGAAAATGTGTTTTCTAGCAAACTTCCATGGCTTTTAGTAAGCTTCTGTTGTAGGCTTTGGCCCAGGGGAAGCTGAACTGAAGAGGGAGGGAGTATGCGTTATCATAATTATCATAACTCACTACTAACGCTTAGTTTTAGTTAAGTAGAATTATTTGTACATGATTTGTAAAGAGGTTAGGGAGAGATTTCTGTTGGAAATGGGATAATGGTATGGAAATGCCTTTTTGATGACAAGCATCTTCCACTTTAAAGTCATTTGTTACTTCTTTCATCTTTGTCCATAAGTTTTCTTTGTTTCACTTAATAGGTTAAGGTTTTAAAAATCTCAATTTCATTCACGTTCCATTGTTAAGCATACCTCTTAATTAGATTTCAGCTTTGCAGTAGAAATAGGATGAAAATACTGCCATCAACTGGTTGCCTTAGATGTAATGAGAGTACACTATATATGAATAAGGCTGTTTTTAAAATAGAAAAAGGTGTTTGCAGGATGCTAATCCTAATATAATAAGGTGAAAAATAATAATAAAACACTAGTGGGGTTCTAAACAAGCAGTAAGTCTTTGGTTCTTTGGCAGGTGCCCCAGCGTTTTCATTAGCAGAATTAACAAATTTGGTATTTTGGATCTTTCCTTTCTATCTGCTGCAAATATAAGACTTCAGTATTGATCAATTCTGTCAGACCTTTTGGTTCTTGAGAGCAAGACTTGCAGAAGTGATACCTAGCGAGCTGTGGCTGCTTTCCAGGTAGAATAATAAAACCATATAATCATTTTTGGCTTTAGCTCAAAAGAATGTACGGGGAGCATTTTTGTAAGATCTGTGTAATGCTACTGTGGGAAACCATAAACTCTACTTCACTTTGTTTTGTAAAATAGCAGAACTCATAACAATAAGTACTAGTCTCTGCCTTTTTCTTAATTACTGACATAAATGAGGTTAATTATAATCCGGTAAAATTGGAAACGTTGAGAAAGTCTGAGCTATTTACTGGATTGGTAACATGCATTACCTGGGCTGATCTGGGACCTCATTTGCCTGCTACAATGAATGTATTTCAGCCTTATTGCTGAGATAGAACATGTAATCCAGCGTGCTTTTGCTCTCAAAACTGTTACTGCAAAGAGAGAGTGGTGAGAACTTCCTAATTTTATATTTTCTTTGTTCAGAATTACAGATGATTTTTAATACACTGCTTACTCCCCTCATGAAGAATCAAAGGCACTATCACCAGGGCTGCTTGCAGTTCGGTTCTGAATGGCATCTGGCACTTGGTTCATCTAGCCCTGTTTGGTCAGAGCGCGTGGCTTGTCTTAGGCTTGGGTTTGATAGCCCTAATCACCCATATATACATATATATTAATCTTTTTTATTACAAACTGAGGGAGTCTAGAGGATTAAAGCTGTTTAAAGATGTACATTAAAAATTTCCGCCCCATTAAGGTATAAAGTCTAACACAAGGTAATTGCTAATGAGGAAGGAGATGGATTTCTCTTCATACTGCTAGGAGTTCACTGGGTTTTTATCTTCCTGTTTTTCCCTGTTACTTGTCATAGGTGTTTCTTCTTTTTCTCTGGCATCATGTTTGTGCAGGCTTAGTACAATATTCCAGGGGAGACAGGAACTTCTCTGAATCTTCTAGTAAGTGTAAAAACTCAGTCTGGTGCTGGTGGGTTTTAATGCAGATCCTTCTAAAACACTAGAAATCGTGTTGGGTGTGTTCATCTGACTGTCTGGTTAAGAAGGTCTTGCTGTTGACAGTTATTAGGCACCAAAGCTCAGTCACCTTAATCAAAAGCATTTTGTAATTGATCCCTGGAGGAAGTAAAGTGAAGAATACATTACACAAAATGTATTTTTGTATAGGTTAGAAGCCGTAATACTGAATCTTTGTAGGAGGAGAATTACTGGAGTCTCTTTTAAGAACAGAAGATAGTAAGTAGGGTAAAACTGGTCCAAGTTTTTTAGAAGGACAGTGGAAAGTACTGTTTGAAAGACCTCAAATCTTTTCTTCCTCTTTTTCAGACTTTGTAATATATCATACAGACATTATGGAGCCAAGTAATTTTTTAAGTAAAGGTAGAATGAAATTCTGTCCTATACACAGGGCTTTTTTCAGGGCAGTAACAAGTCTGCTTTGGGTTTTAAACTGGCAAACATCCAGGAATTTTTTGGATCTAAAATTAAATCTATCTTTTAATCTGTGCAAGCTAATATAACTGTGTGTGGCTGATGAACCTCCTTCGCTGATAAGCCTCCATTTCAGGGAGAGTCCTGCACACTTTCGTGTTTGGAAAGCTTCTAGTTTAGGAAAAGTATTTAATTTACATTTGGCTGAACACTTCACATTCAGAAACCTGCCTGCATTTAAATTCATAATCCAACAAAAATTATTGTGGGTCATATTAACAAGTTCTTTTTGGAATATATTATTAAATTGTTGGCATTGCACTATACTGTCTGCCTGTATGATCTACTAGACTAGCTTTAATATTAACAGTATTACATTAAAAGGCAATTTTAGGAATAGACTTATAATTCTGGTGATTTGAAAATAACACTAATGTGGAAAGTTATAAAAAAAAAAGTCACAATATTAACATAAGGTACGTGAACTGTGAAGATGATTATTGCTCAATGAATGTGAAAGAAGGCCCTCTTTTTGCACCTATGCAATATGTATACATCTTTTGATCAAGATTTTTATGTGATGGAGGGGACTTCAGTACCGGCAATGCATGGAAGGCTTAACGCCAAAACTTACTTAGAACTTTTAGGCACTCTCTGCTTAATGCCATGCTGACACTATTGGTAACTGATGTTTCGGTGCCTTCAGGGGGTCTTTTGGGATTTTCCTTTCACCTCCTGACTTCCACTGCTTTGGAATCTCTGATGGAGACCTCAGTTGTAAGCTCATGGGTGCCACATTGTGCCTCTCTTTTTTTTTTTTCCTCCCTTGCTGCTACTGCCACTGATTTGACCCTAGATGGATAATAGCTGGGATTGTTTTTTTCATTTGTAATTTTAGAATTACTTGTGTACTGTGAGAGTTAACACATATTTTGAAAAAAATACATTGGTAAAGCTTTTATCTTGAAAGTCTAAATATTTGGGAATCAGAAAACCTCTCTTGGGGTTTGTTACTCCAAGTTTCACTGTCAGCTTAACAAGCCCTTAACAAACCCCCTGCATTCTTCATTTTAATTTAACCCGTGGTCTCTTCAAACCACAGCTTGCTGTGTGTTTATGGTCTTTGAGCTTGTATATGTGTGACAGAATAAGTGAAGATCTTCTGCTTAAGGACGTACAGGAGTTTATTAAGTGCTAAGTGAAATACTAGAAAACAAACTTTTCTTGTAGAAAAGGTCCCATCTTTTTTTTTTTTTTCAATGCAGTTTATTTTTGATGAGCATAGGATTCATTTATTAGTTCTGGTTCATCGAAGTGGATATTTTCTGGAAATTCACAGCTACAGCAGTTCTAAGATCGAATTCCACTTGTGACTAAAGCCCTGTACATTATATATTCTGGTCCTTTAATTATTAAAATATAGTCAGGTTCTGACACCAGTTTACCTTAGTAAATTAAAAAAAAAAGCTGAAAAGTTCAACTTTCTGTAGCAAAAGAAATAAATAAAAGCAATTTGCAGTTGTGTTTTTACATGTTTAAAGATAAGTAATTCTGCTACAGTATCTGATTTAGCATCCTTTAGTCTTGTCCATGGCTTTCTATCATTGAAAATATATCTTCTTTAAAAATATATTGCTTTTTCTCCCCTTTATTCCTCTACTCAGTTACTATTTTTTTCCAGTTTTCTCATTCTTTAGTGATGTTTTGAAGACAGTGGTTTTCTTAACTTGCTGGCAGCATTTCTTAGCACAGCTTGTATTGATACAGGGCTATCTACTTCTTATTTCTGAACCTCTCTTTCTTCTTGTAATTTAATCTTTGTGCAATGTACTTTTTCCAAAGCTGAACTATTATATCTTCAGTAACTCCTCGCTTGCTGTCTGTATTTAACTTTGGCCAGTCATACTCTGCTGGATAATTTGGCTATCAAACAGCGTTTTGTCCCTTGTGTTAATTTAAGCCGAACTTGGAAAATGGTACTTGTTTTACCACTCTGATAATCTAGTTTAAGGCATTGAATAACTTCTGGTGGTGCAGGGTTTTGCAGAATCATGTATTTTCAATGTTTTGGCAAAAGCCTTGTTTGTTTATTCTTTATCTGGAGTCGTGCTTACCCTAAGGTGGTCTTTGGCTGCTAGCCTGGCGTAATGCAAGTGCTTGATAGTAATCTTGCAATCTGTTTTAAAGCTTGAAAATGGGGGGTGGGAGAGACAATGTGAGAATTTCTTTTGGGCCTGTTGGTTTGGACGTGCTCGGTGTGCTCAGGTTTCTGTGAGGAGGCTTCAGTAAAATTGGGCCACGAGTATTGCTGCTGACATGTTTACAGTCACTGCTCACACAAATGTTGAGGTACAAGTCTGCATTTATACGCACTAAGCATAGTTTATTACATTCAGGTTGAGTATCACAGCGTTGGTGTGCAGGAAGAGCAGTTCGGGTGAATGCATCTACCAGAGTGTGTAGGCCTCAAATTTTTGTTTGAGCTTTTGCTGGAGAGAGGCAGCCCTGAGCCCTCACAGATCCAGTGGCTTCTGTCAGAGCTAACCAAAGGGACTGTAGAAATGGAGTAGCAGTGTAAAACCTGCACCAGGTCCCAGAGCTGCTCTGGCCCCTGAGGTGAGGAGTACCCGCCATTGCTGTGGGGGCATCGTCGCCATCCTCAGTGCTGAGTAGATACTGTGGTAAAGTAGGAGTAAGTTTGTGATCAGCCAAGTAAGATCGTATTCTAGGAACGGTTTTAAGCATCTCC